CAAGATAAAATAGTTTCCATTTATGGCGATTGTTCTCTGCCGAATCTAGGTATCACGACTGAAGATAGAACTACTCTTATAAAAGAAATTTCTATAGTTTTTCATTCTGCTGCAACTGTTAAATTCAACGAGAATATAAAATCAGCGACAGTTACTAACGTATGTGGTTTGAAATACATGATGAGCCTCTCAAAGGAATTGCCAAAATTACAAGTACGAATATTTTACGATTTGTATGTTTATTATTAACTTTAAAAACCATTAAATGAAAATATGAGTTATTGTAAATATTCGTTATATTTAATGTATCAGAGTTTCGTTCATGTATCCACGGTTTATTCCCAATGTATCCACAATCCAATCGAAGAGAAATTTTATGATCCGCCAATGGATGACGACAAGTTGATAAATTTAGTCGACAGTATGAATGAAAAGTTACTGGATGACATTACGCCAAAGTATGTTCTTCTTCAATCGTTTATTTTKGGACTGATTTTTGTTTTGTTACGTATCAAAGATATATTTAATAAGTGTTTGATACGATTATTTGAATTTAGACTAATTGAACCATGGCCGAATACTTACGTTTACACTAAATCAGTCGCTGAAAATATAGTTAAAACGCAAAGTGGTTTATTACCGATAGGAATATTTCGTCCAGGAATTGGTTTGTATCAACATAATTCTAGAAGAAAAAAACAATTTATAGGTGAGTTTTTTAATTTAATATTTTTAGTAATATCCACGTATCGAGAACCAATTAGAGGATGGGTTGATAATTTACACGGTCCAATGGGAATTTACGCTGCTGCTGGAAAAGGTTTAATCAGATCTCATAATTGTGATGGATCCGTAAAAGTATGTTTAGTACCAGTAGATTTGACAACAAATGCGTTAATTGTTAGCGCCTGGGACATCGCAAACAATCGGAGGTATTATATTGATTATTGACGAGAAATTTTATGATTATAGGTGATTATACTGATTCAGAAAGAATAGATCCTTGATAAAGTTGTTTGGAAATTTACAAAAAAATCCGAAGTAGATCTGTCTTTCTCAAATACATTATGTTTTAGATCCAAAGATGACATTCCTATTTACAATTATGTCTGTTATGAAAATCCTATAACTTACAAAGAAATGACAGAAATGACATTTAAGTACGGGCACTTAACACCGACTAAAGATGCAATCTGGTACTGCAACTTTGGCCCTACAAAATATCGACTACTCCATCTTTTCTACGTATATCTTTTTCATTTATTACCAGCTTTCATAATGGATATTGGAATGTTATGCTTTGCTAAAAAGCCAAGGTAAATTTTTCTTATCTTTTTTTCTTCGAAGAAAAAATATTTAAGAAAAATAAGTATAGATCGTATAAACGATATCTTGTTTCATTTAAGGTTCCAAAAAATGTATAATAGATTACACAAAATGTTAAACTTGTGTAGCTATTTTTCTCTAATCGAATGGAAGCCTACGAATGAGAGATGGATCGAAGCATTAAAAAAATTAAACTCCGAAGATAGAGAATTGTTCTACTGCGACATGAAAGACGTTGTATGGGACACTTACTTTAAAACTTATTTCTTAGGTATAAGAATATACCTCTTGAAAGATCCCATTTATACTCTCCCACAAGCTCGGAAAAAGTGGGAAAGGTATTTTCACTTCTTTTTGTTGTTTAATTATTAGTCTAAAGCTTACAATTTCTTTCAAATAATACTAATTTTATACATTTTTAAGACTTTACTGGATTCATCAAACATTTAAACTTGTTATTGCCTGTATTTTTCTCACGATCACATGGACTATGATTTTAAAACTATTCATCACGTGCAAATCTGCTTAAAAAAAAAAACAAGTTGACCTCAGGCAATTTGGGCACGAAATAAGAAGCGACATTGAATATTTATATTTTTTAAAGTGCTAATCAATCATCTTTATTTATTTAATAAATCCTTACTAATGAATACAGTAATTTCAATTATTTTATCGTAATAGAAACACGTTGTAAGTTTTATGATATATTTTACGATTATTTAGAGTTTAAGTATGGAATACAATACTACAGTTTGTGCTTTGCGTTAAACATAGATATACATTTTATTGCAAGAAGTTTATTTTTAAACTTTAATGTTACTCATCTATATTAATATACTACAATTTTCTTTAATATTTATACTAGCAATAAGAGATACAAGAGGGAAATAAATAAAATAAATAATTTATAATTGAAATAGCACTTTCTTAATACGTGACCATGCCTTTCAATAATAATAATAATAATAAAATATCTAACTACTCTTTGAACAATTTGAGTGAAAAATGTAAAGTGTTAAAGTCGTAATGAGAGATCCTGGTCGTGCATCAAACATAATTGGTAGCGGCATTTTCAACCACGATGAAACGAAATAAAAGCAAATCTATACGAGAAACGCGACGAAACTTTCTCAGGGATACTGGAAACGCCTCGAGCGAAAACTCCACCGAGAAACAACTTGGCAAAAAAGGGGCTGCGGCGGTGCTTTTACACCACCGACACCGCTAACGTTACCAAAGAGAAACGAAAAAGAAATAGTATAACACTTGGATACCTCAAAACGATTATGAAACGAATCTCGCGTATGGCGAAGAAGGACAAAGTGGAAAGAAAAAAATGTTTAAAAGAAGAAAAAGTAAAATAAAAATAAGAAGAAGACAGGAGACAGGAGACAGCTCGTAAAAGATCGTCTCAACACACACACACACACCACCTGTGTCTGATTTTACACCGCAAAACTTATGTTAGATGGACCGACGACGACGACGACGAAAACGACAAATGTTATAAGAAGTACAGTCCTTTCCACCTGTTTACGTAAGAACACAAATGATACGGTCTCGACGACAAATACCAAATTTATCAAACGCATCCGAATACCATCCATCAACTACCACATATATAAACTCTTCTAAATAAAACACTTTCTATTTAAAAATAAATCGAAATTTTGTGAGATAATTTAATTTTGTAATTTTGTTAATACGAAATTTCACATGATAAGTAAGTGCATTATTAATTATAGTAATTTTTTATAAAAATTCAACGATCTAATTTATTTTACAATCGACAAGATTTCGTATTATTATTTTTCGAATGAAAATTGGAAAAGATAAAAAAAAAAAAAATTGTATAAAAGATGATATTAAAAGGAAGAGAATTTTCTGGATATTCTCTTGGGATACTTATTCTGATAAAAGGAGCAACGGTTTCCCCTAATTATTTTGCAGGAACCAAGAAAACATTCTAGCGCGACCAAGCGGAGAAAACGAATTTGAAAGTGTTGGAATTGAGAGACTGGTGGTGTGTAGTATCCAGGTACAGCAGGTTGACGAACCAACGATGAAAACGTTCTCTTAGTTGAGTCCGACCTTGCTGAAAGTTTTATTTAACGGTAGCTCGCACTTCAATCGTTTCTTTATTCCTTTCTCCAGGGAACGGTGTCTGCCGCTCGGTAAAGTTATCCGCAGTTACATTTTTTTGCTAAACATCTGACCACGACCTCGATCTTCTTCATCTCCGTCTTTTTCTACTTGCGGAAACGTAGATTGGTTCGTATAATACGATCCGTTACAACAACTGTATAATAAAACAAAACAAAAAAAGTAAAATCTTTAACGATCTATAATAATCGATGAACATATTTTTTATCCAATCGGAAACAAATCACCAAAATATTGTATACAAACTGTCACGTTGACATATTATTTAATAACAGATTATTTAAATTCCGATAAAAATGATCCCGTCAAAAAAATGAATGTCAATGATCAAACGATTATATCGAAATAAAAATCAATATAATATAATAATTAATAAATATATAGATAATATTTAAAACACACACTAATCATATATATTATTTTTAAATATTTATAAATATCTCGAAGCTGGGGGTTTTTAATGAGATTTCAATCGATAGTAAAAACTTGATTCGCATTTGTATTCTCAATCTATATTTTCTCTTCTAACTTTCTCTTTAGCATACGTCCTTTGTCGTCCTTTGTCGTCCTGACCGTGATCTTTGCAACCTCATTCCTTCTTTCCAATCTCGACACGAAGGATGTGGGAGCGGTGGTTTAGTCGTTGACTGGGCGACTTTAAACCGTGGGAGTTAATATCCTTTCACGGATCTTAAGGATGCTTTACGATCCTAAGAGGTCCTCGACTTTGTTCCATTACGAACTAAATGCGAAAACTAATCTAATAAGAATTTACAAATTATTCAATATTATATTTAATTGTCTATATAATTTACCGTATTATCAGAAAAAAAGTATATTACTTGATAAAAATATTCAAAAATTCCATAATTCAGCTACAAGTAAGTGTACAAATCAATCATGTTTGAAAAACAATAATGTCCAAATATTTAAACGTGTCACTTTAATTATTTTTAAAACGTCACATTAGAATTATATTTAAAATAATTCTAAATATTTTATATTAAATATTTTGAATAATTTGTCTATAGAACATGTGAATTATTAAACAAATTTCTTTTTTGAATTCTCATCAAAATGATAAATAATTATTCGAATTTTAAAATAAACTATAATTAAATGATCAAAACTAAGTTATCGAATTTTTTGTACCGTATTCATTACTCGTATGGATGTAGTTTCGAAAATGTCGTCTAAAGGTCGTCTATGACGCACTCACCTGAATGAAATTCGAGGTGAATGGTTGTCCACTGAAGTCACTTTACGCTCCTCTGACTCACTTTACGTCAATGAAGGTAGAGAGAATCCGAGTAGCATGAATTAATATCCGCGAACATGACCAAGACTGAGTTTCTTTTTTACTTAACCCACTCATTCTGCCTCTCCCGCTTTTATACTCTTCTCTTTTTCATAGTCATCCTTTAAAATTAGACGTCATTCGCGATGTTTGTATTCGTGACGCATCAATGATCACGGGTCAGAAGTTCATTCGTTGCATATAATCCATTACCTTATTTTACTTACAATTTCTTATAATCATTTTTTTGTTATCACGAATCGTTAACCATCTAATTATCTTTGCAAAGTTTAATGTATAAATCATATAAATTGCAATTTTTTCCGCCTCGTAGAGAAAAAATTCCTAAGATTGTAACACTGTTGCATAAAATGTTATAAAACAATTTATCTTGCGAAATATTTTTAACGAAAACTAATCGATATTTTCAACTACGTAAAACACTTTTTATACTCGCTCTGTGAGCTTTTCATGAAAAAAAAAAAAAAAAAACAAATAAAATAAATACATTTCAATTATATAACAAAATGTTTGTGTGTAAAATCCTTTTTTCTTTTTTTCAATAAGCCTTTTATAAATATGAAAGAAGGAAGAAAAAATAAACATTGAAGCAAATAGAAGGAAGATAATCGAGCGATGTGCATCAACACCGGTTCGAATAATCATTAACGTCCTCGCTAATGACCGTCGAGAGATAAATTACTCTGTAATAATAATCCGAAGGAACTCGGGACAGCTTCGTTACGAGCCCGAAACCAATTTACAATTTTGTGTTTCGACGCGATCAATTAGTTAAATGCTTATGAGAAAGTATAAGTGTTCTACGAACGATCATTCTCATATCGGTTCGAGAACGTACAACAAACGTGTCTGTTACTTCGATATAAAAATGACCATTAAATCCAAACTAAATTAACAAATAATAAATAATAAAATAGGTTGGTGATATAAAAAAAAAAAATGAAAAAATTAAATAATTAAATTAATGAACAACGCGCGATAAATATTAACCCTTTGTACTCAATGTTGGCAATGTTGTAAAAAATGCAGGCAATGTTGCAATGACAGCAATTTTAATATAATTAAAATATAATTTTATGTATATTATATAACAAAAAATTATATAAAATATAATATTATATATATATTTAATATAATTTAAATAAAATATTTGCAATAACACTTTCTAATATTTATTCGAAATACCACAAAAATGTCATGGAATTGCTGATAGGTCATATTAAAAAATTGACTGGAGTGCAAAAGGTTAATAATAAGCTGTTAAAAACAAACATTAAAATTAAAAAATTAACGAATGAAGCGTTGAAAATATTATCTTCAATTAAAACGAAAATTCAAATATTTACGTTTGACAAAATTTCGATTTAACGAGAAGCGAGTGTGTGTATGTGTGTATGTGTGTCGTAAAAAAAAGAACTGAAATAAGTATGAAAGATAAAAAGATGAAAGTTGCATGACAGAAATGAGAGTCGAGGAACGTAACAGCACAAATAGTTGTCAAACGTGACGATAATCGCAAACGACTAATGAAAGAAGAAAAATATTTCTGTATATATATATATCTTTCTTTCTCTTTCTCTCTCTCTCTCTGTCTTTCTTTCAACCCTTTGATCATTGGTTCGTTTTGGCGTCATCCTATAACCGCAGTCGGCACGCATTGACTCACGTGCGTGGGCAAAGGTATGCGAGGCGCATACGATGCACGACGTGAAATGCGATACGTGCGCTCGCGTGCACACGCGCGTGCGAGCTTTGTGGGCCAGCGTTAAATCCGCTTATGTGCTAACCCGACTCGATGACGCCACCCACTTCTATTAACAACGATGTCGAGGACATACGAATAAACAAAATCACGACATTTCTAAAAAACAAAAAAAAAGAAAAAGAAAAGCCGAAAAAAATAAGAAGAAATTAGAAAGTTTTTTTACGAATCATTCTTTCTTTTCTATGTGGCAAAATTCTTTCCCAATTTTTTTTTTCACTATAATTATAGAAATTATATCTGTTCGGTTCAAATTAATTTTAATGATTCTAATTGAGAAATTTGTATAATTATAATTAATACAATATTCACATATACGATCACATATAGGACAATTATTTATATGACAAATTAGTATAAATGACATGTAATATATTTTAAAAATAAAAAAATATAATTGTGAGAACCGTAGGGAAAAGCGCGAGTCCCAGATCTTAAGGTAATATTTATCGTTAATTTTTGATGTAATAAAGTGTTACACCGTTACTATTAATATTCGATGGATGTAGAAGCTAATGGAAGAAGCCTTTCGAATTTTCTCATGAACTCGGAAGAAGATCGTAGATCCTCAGGGTATGCATGCAGATATACTTTTATGTTAACGACGAAAACGTCATGATTAACGTACTCTCAATGATTAACTTCAGCCTCGAGCATAGAATCCATAAATGCGTTCACCGAGAAACAGGCAGAAAGAGAGAGAGAGAGAGAGAAAGAAAAATGAACGGAAAGTACTTAAATTCCTGTATTTTTTTCTATCTTTATCACTACTCGTCATTTCTAATGTAAGTTAATATCAGACTCGAAATTATATACCATTAATAATCCATTAAAAAGAAATCTTATTACAAACATCATTGAGATGTGATATTCAAATTTCTCTTGATGGAATAGTTATAACAAAACAAAAAGTCGGAATTAATAAAAAATACAAAAAAAAAGAATTCTAATCTTCTAGAAGAAGAAGAAGAAGAAGAAGAAAAGTTGACAAAATAATTAGAATCGTTGATATTTCCATCATGAAACAAAGAGTCTTCTAAGTTTATCGAGTGGTCAACCAGAGTTCCGAAATGAAGATCGGGTTGCAGGATTTCAGGCGCTATGCTATGTTACAAATCCAATATAATGCACAAGTACAAAGAAATCTTAAATGAAAATTCAAGAAGATGAGATACTACGATTCGAATGATATATGGGGGGTTCATGGGTATAAAATATTAGTGATATAGGTAAATAAGATTAGAAAATTATGATGGACGATAAATCGTAGAAGAAACTTATGTTAAAAAATTGACAAAGTGATCCATAAAGATTTATGACAACTCTCATTCCGAAGTCGTAGGCGTGAGCAATTTTCCAGTTCATCCAACAATTCCCTCGGACTCCTACACGATTCTCAACGAGTGACTCGTTGCCTCGACGTTTGCCTCGCCTTTGTATTTAACCATAACGGCGTGACCGAGAAATGCACACGTCAACTTTATCTCTCCCCCATTGAACTCTGCAATTAAATTGACCGCTAAAAATAGTCGTTCAGATGTCTCCGCGCTTTCATCTTTAACCAATATTATTAAATAATTTCAATTTAAACGTATCTCTAAACACGAATCTCGAAGATTCTCTCAAATTTACGATCATGAAATTCCTCTATATATATATAACTTGAAAAAAATTAAATAATTTTCTATCAAAAAATGAATATTATCGTAATAATATATGCGACAACTATGTACGTTTCTATTATAATAAGTTTTCAAATCAACGTAGAAAATGAAAAATTCTTAATCGTAATCGTAATCGATAAAAGTAAGAGGACGCTGGCACGTACTTTATATCATTAACGTGTCTCCAAACAAGTTTTCAAAGTTGGTCGATGGGTAAATCGAATAGTTGGAAATGAACTAAATGTAAGATCAGAAGGTAGGTAGATAGATACGTAGATATAGGTAGTTCGATTTCGAACGCTGGTCACGTATCGTGTGGATAAGCGTGCGGCGAACACCTTTTACCTAGCTGCTACTTCTACTTAAACTTCTACTTCTATATATATATACAATATACCTATATATATTTACTAGTACAAGATCAGAGAGCCGACAAACGTGGTATAGTGCACACGTCTTATTGCCAAGACCACCACCATGAACTCCGTAGACCTGGTAATTGCATAACTCCGGAGGTCGCGTCAGTAACGAGCGGCTTGTCTCTCGGATCTTCAAGATCGTAAGGCCAAACGAGAATTCTTCGAGTTTTGCACGCTAGTTCTCTTTCTACCTTCTTTCGCGTGCCGCTGAATTCGCGTTAAAACTTTAAGTCAATCCGTTTGAAAAAAAAAAAAAAAAATAAGGAATAAGAATTTAAATGAGAAAACTCTTGGAGGAACAAACAACAAAAAAATATCGATTATTTATTCCTTATGTGAAAATTCGAATTAATCGAAGAATAAATAATAACGTGAAAATAAAATGTCTTTAATTATTTTTATATATATGTATATATACCCTGTAGTAAATATAAATCTTTCAAAGTATCTGATTATTTTTTTGTTTAAATGTTCTCTTACGTTAGTTTTTTTATTTCAAATTCTATCCGATAAATAAATCGACGGAACGATTTCTATTACAAGGAATTTCTCTCTACGTAGATCGTATCGATCTGGAATATAAATCATTAGATTCTCAATAAATAACATTCGAGATTTCCCTACTGAAGGAAGGTTAACGATAATTATAGAGAACACTCGTTCACTATAAAGAGAACTCGTTTATACGCGATGCTAAACACATGCGAAAGTATAAAAAAGAATATAACCATTTTTTCAAACAATTTCCGAAGGATTCTTTATAGCATGCAAATACGATTCTTTAACACTTTTCTGTAAATGTTCTTTCATCAATCCAATTTGCTCTATACACACATAACTTAGAAATATATGCTCAAAAATATATAGAATGTACGTAAAATAAAAGTAGGGAAAAATAAACAGATAGAAAAAAGAAAAAAAAGAGAAAGAAATTATACATACGATCAGTTACAGTTTAAATGTATGTATGTATGTATTGAGTTAGCAAATAAGTGTGGATATTTTGGTTAGAAAAATTATAAATTATAAATTTATTTTAATAATTTCTTTATATATATATATATATTTACGTAAGTACTTATTTATATAAAAAGATAGAGAGATATATAGATAAATAGATAGAAAGAGAGGTCCCCCGGGGACCTGTAGATTTTTTATTAAAGTAACCACACTCACTTA